AACTGAATGCTTTGGTTGGAGCTTGTAGTGTGCATTTGTCTGTGTTAAATATCACTTTGCAAGAAGTGGGAAATGTGGGTTTTGGGACTCAAGCTGGAGCAGGCAGGAGAGGAGTGGGAGAAAGGCACGCGAAGCACGAGTGATCACGCTCCTGGGAAAGAAGAAAGCGCAGGGTGGAGAGCAGAGCAGAACGGATTTTAACAGGCAGCTCCATCAGGCTGCACCGAACTGCTTTGTGATTGGCACTGGTTTTCAGTTTTAGTGAAATACTGAAGGTACATGGATACTTATTTCTTTTTGTGTCACCTGCTGACCTTCACAGGGAGTGAGTAGTAGAAGTTTTCCGGTATGTTCAGCCTTTCAAGGAAGATACATGTGAGCTAACTAACCTCTTTGCACTGGACCTGCTGATGAGCACTTCTGACTCATGCGGGTGGCCCTGGTGGAGCCAGAGCTCCAGGAGAGGAAAGCAAGAGGCAGGTGGGAGCACTTGCCCGCTTACTGCTGAGCTAGACTTGTGTGAGGACCTTTTTGAAAAAAATGCAACACAAGTCTTAATGTTCCAGCCTAAAAAGCTTCACCTTTCATGAAATTCCCACCGGAATCCAAAAGATGCCAAACAAGTCATGCTGAAGTCAGTATGAGCTGCAGGTGCTTGACACTTTGGAGTGTTTTTATATCTTGAGTCACTCGCAATTTGAGCCAAAACTAACCATGTAGCCTCCCTCTGAAAGTCAATGGAGAGAAACAAGTATTGCTGGAGTGCAAATCCCCTACCCTGGACCAGTCGGCTGGTCAGGATGAGATGAATTGTTGGTTTTCTGCCTGCTGTCATAAAAGCAGTCCAAAGAACTCACAGCAGTGGATGTTTGTGTTGTAGACGTCTTGGAGGAGGTGTGACCCGTCCCCAGCGTCTTATTCTGACCGTTTGACTACTAGTTAAGGGTTATAGGAAGAAGCAAAATTGTTAATATTAATTAACATGAACCAGATTCCTGCGGTTGGCCTGAAGTGTGAGCTTTTCCAGCATGGTAAGTTGCTTTTTTGGGACAGCTCTATTCTTCTGGTTTTGTATCAGGTAAACGATTGGGATTGGAGCAAAGAATGCCTGGTTTTGGAGGCTGTCTCCTGAATGGCCATGCCATACGTGAACGTAGCTTGCTCTTGTATTTGAGCATGAGCTTTGCTGTATCACGCGTTCCACTCCTTACACCAAAATACTTGGAATTCATTGTGGGATAGATAATCGGAGCTTTGCTTTAATAAACCTTGCAACTCTCAGAGTGTGAAACAACTGGCGCTTTCTGATGGAGCGCAGACTGCTACCTCATTAAAATCGAGTTTTCCTGGGGGCAGGCGGGATCTCGTGAAAGGGTGAGAGAAGTGCCCTGATGGAGCAAGAAGGGCACGCGCAAGCTTTGGGGCAGAGCTCTGTCTCCATTTGACTGGACAGATGAAATAAAGAATCTAAAAATCTTCACTGTTCAGTGTGGACTTCCTCATCTACCTTGTCTTTACTAGGGGATTTTTGCTGACTGTTGTGAGTGCTGTTAGTGCAATGTCTGATACAGGTAGGCCACTCAGTCTTTGCGGCACTGAAACTGCAGTGTTGCTTGTTATGCATAGAGCTTGCCTAACGTGCTACTCCTCATTAACTCTTTGGAAACAACGATGCCTCGTCAATGTGTGCTTTTAAAGTGCAGCTAGTCAGAACAGGCTTTTCTGCCTACAGAGTTATTCCAGACATGGCATGCTTAGAGCACGTATTCTAGGATTTAAGATAGCACGTTTGAATGTCTACTTAGTGTATTGTGCAAGAACTCAAATCCTGTTTGCCTGTACAGTCGAAGGAGGGAAGCGGTGAGAACAGCTATTACAGATTTCCCGACAGAAATCTCACAAATGTGTCTTTGTGTCTCCGTTGAGCGTGGAGGGAGGTAGGGTCTGGCAGCATAAGGGAGTGGGTGGTGTGAATCTGTCATTGCTCTCTTGATCTTAGACAGCCGAGTCCAACTTAAGCAGTGTAGTAGGTGGTCTCAATACAGCCGACTGCGCTGGTGTAGTGCGGAGTTGGCCACTTGTTTTAGCAGCGTTGGAGCCGGCTGCAAACAAGAATGAACTGTGGCAATCTGTAAACACAGTTTTCTAATCTAGGTGAAAGCTTATGGGTGTATAGATGGAAAAAATGCCATCTTTGAGTCCAAAACCACGATATCTTTCTGTAGTTAATAGGAGAGGAATTAATAAAGATATGTGGTACCCTCTGTACTATATTTATTGTGGCAGGTGTTAACTAATAGATCTGGGGTGGATATATTCTTTAAATAAATACTTTTTTTGAGAGCAATCTCTAAGCTACGATTCTGCTGCTAAGTAAGGAATGCCAACTAGGGTCCTGTCAACCAAAGATCATAGACATTCCCCAAGAGTTATTCCAGTCTCTATCTCCTTACTGCAGCTTTGGGTCTCTTTAGACTGTGGCAGTGTCTTTTGTACCCTTTCTTAAACTTCATAAGTACATCAAATTTGTATATAACTGAGTACAGTTCCCGAGTTCAGTTTTTTCAAAGCTATCTGCTGTAGGTCACAAACAGAATGGGTGAGGATCTCTTCCTTGTTGAATTATAGAAAAATAGAGTCCTGGGAAAGGTAGAGGGAAATTCCATCACTGGAAGGATGTAAATCCATGTATGGGCATGTTTGGTCCTTGCACCCAAGTTGGAGTCATGGCAAAATTCTTGGGGAGGGTTCAAACAGCTAACTGCCCCCTCTGCAGCTTCAAGTCATTCCTATACAGCCAAGCTGATAAAAAGGAAGATGATCTATTAGAGGAGACCCACCCTGGAGAGAATCTCTATACTTAGAGATCGCGGACTGATTTCTGACATATATTCAGCATGAATCTGGAGTAGTTCCGCGTGCTCCAGCTTTGGATTCATGCTCGTGTAAATGAGATCAAAATCTTGGCTGCCTCTCTAAGCTGGCCAGAGAGGGTGTGAATGAAACCCCTGGCTAAAACAGAGACGTGCTCTCAGAAACAAGCCCCCCAACTGGCAAGACTACTCAGAGCACTGAAGCTATTGAAAAAAGCTGCAGACAGAAAATGAATTAGAGGATAGAAGAGTGAAAATGAGCTGGCAGAATCTGTAGGTGACTCATCAGGTGCATCTTGTAAAGTCTCCTTCTGAGAAGTAATAAAATCTCATGTTCTAACAATATTTGCACTGCAGCAGGAAAATGCATAAATATTGGGATCAATTAATGAAATTAGATATCTTGACCAAAACAGCCATAGAGCTGGCTCAGAAACATCCTTCTTCCTTTACGCTAGCGTTTTGCGCTTGCAGTTGGGAGAGGAAGGACGATCCCATGTTTCGGTTTCACGTCGAAGTTACGTGAGACCTGGGCAGCTGCAGGATTGCTCGGATGCTCTGGTTCATCGCTTGCAGCATCTCCACCCCGTGGAGGTCCTCCGAGCCGGTGTGCGGGCACGACAGCCTGGCCGAGCGCCGAAAAGCCTCGTGAGCTGTCCCAGCGCGCAGCCTCCTGCCCTTTGGATTTTAAGATTACTGAAGGCAGGTGTAGCTTGTGTCGACCCACCAGTAGGTAGACTGCCTTAGTGGTTGTAAAAGAGTAATTGCCTTATACCAGCTGTATTTTCATTGATTTGTATCTGGGGGAAGCACTGAGCCTTAGGAGAAGGGGAACAACAGAGCTGGGCTTAATTCATGTCTTAATAACAGCAAAACCCCAAACAAAACCTAAACCGCGAATGACTGGATGAGCGAATACGCACACAGCATTTAGGTAGGTATTCTGGTGGATAATCAGAGAAACATGCGCTCTCTTAAAGCAAAAAGAGCTATCGCTATCTTTGGATTTATAAACAGCAGAGTGCAAATCATCAGGTTATCCTAGCCTTGATTTGGCACCGGTACGACTGTTGCTGGAGTAATTTGTCTGGTTCCTGGCATCCTCGATTCAAGAGGATGTTGACAAATTGGAAAGACATAAAAGAGCCACAAGGGTGGTTAAAAGATTGGCAAATGCGCGTTGCCAATGAAACAGCGAGGCTTTTGGCTCCGTTTACTTTCTCTTGTGTTTTTTTGGAGCGAAGGTTAAAGGGTGGCTTTAGCAGCTCTGAGTACCTGCGTGAAGAACAGAAATAGGCAGCTCTGAAGTCTGTCAGACAGAGGTGCAACACGAGCCGGTGGCTGGAAGTTGAAGCCAGCCCTTAGCTGGAAAAGTAGGACAGTTTTTTTGAATGATAAAGGCAAATTAACTGTTGTAACAATTTATCATGATCCAGGGATTTTTTTTTGTCTCCGGAAACGTATACATCAAAATGGGGGATTTTTTCCAAACTTGTCACTTTCATTTTAAGCATAAGTCATGAAGGAAAGTCCTCTGGCCTTATGATACAGTCGTATTTTTCAGTGAATGTTTCCCTTCTTCTGAAAAACTAAAAATCCTGGAGGCTTACTAGACTGAATCTAACTTGCAGGTTTTATTTGAAGAGGTATTTGCTTGTACGTCCCTGCAATGTTTGCTCCACCTGTGTTCTCCAGGAAGCTTTGATTTCCGCAGGAATACTAGGAGCTCATTCAAGGAAAGGTCGTGCTAAATTTACATCGAGTTCTATGTGCCACAGAGTTGAGAAGACAATTATTGATTTCTGCAGGTTGTAGCATAGTATGAATTCTGTGGGGTTTTTTGTTACGTTGTTACTCTTTCTTATCTTGAATAATAAGAATATCTTCTCTCCCTAGTAGTCTTACTGGACACCCAAATTTGAAAGAACTCACAGTGAGTAAAGGACCCCTTAAATAGCAGTGTGAGGTGCTGGGAGGATGTAGAAAAGGAGTCCGCCTTAAAGCGGTTCCTCCCATTCGTTTGCTGTGGCAGCTAAAAGAAGAACGTTTTGGGTCTTGAATGGAACTTGGGATTGTGAAGACTAAGCTGCTCTTTTCTAAATGTAATGTTCTCTTTTGTTTTTCTAGCTTTGGGGAGCTCAAAAAATAAAGCAGGTAACGTGCCTCTTTATGTAGCAGGTGATGTGCTTTTTCATTTTTTGTTGCTGTTTTATAAAATAGTGCTTGTTCTTTTTCCTTTTTGCTAAATGAGGGAAAAGTGCTGTCCTCTTCTGCCTGCTGGGTTTGTCCGTTGCTCTTCTGTCTTGCCACAGAAAATACATTTGCCAAGAACGCTGTTTCTACCTGTGATTCTGATTTTTCTTTTTGTATTCATATATTCTGATGTCTTCATTTCCTCCTTCCTATCTAGTCAGGAGGTTTCTGGTTGCCAGTCCTTCAAAGACAGCGTGACAGCTCTTCAGTGAGCCTTAAAACTATGACGCACCTTTCTCTTCTGCAGTTCCAGGTCACGCGGGGTTCATTTTTTCCTCCTTCCCTGCTGATTTATGCCGGGGCAGCCTCCCTGCCTTGTTGTAAAGTTTAATTAAAAAAAAAAAAAAATCAAATCGGGCCAAATGAGTTTCATAGCGTGGTGTTCCTTGGTCTGCACAGTCCACAGCCACCACAGATGGCCCCTTTTGCTTGTGAGAAGCTGTGGCCAGGCGCGAGGGTCGCGTTCCTCTGGCAAAGCCAAATCTCATGGCATCTGAGAAGAGCTTACTGAGATGACCTTTATGATGACACCAAGAGCTGACCATGCCTATAAATTTTTGTTTAAACTCTGTTGGATTCTGAAGGAAAATTTCAGACTTCTTTTGATTTGGCACGCAGGCTTGTATGAAGATATCGATAAATGGAGGAGATGTTTCCCGTTGTTGTGCATTATTGGTCGGTATTCACTGCATTCAGAGGAAGATCTGTCAATAGAGTTAGTGGAAAAGATGCTAGAACCTGTCATTTTAAAAATAAAGCTGGAGTCTGCCTTCCTGGGATGCCTGTTGTTAATTTTCTAATGAGAACCACTCATTTTTGCTCTGGAAACACTGAAGAACAGTTCCAAGTTTGCACAGAGAGTTATTCCCATCTCGTGGCAGTTAGAGGTTGTGTCAAATGAAGTCAGTCTTAGGACCGTGTCCAGAGCAACTCCTGTAGGTTCCTAATTTAGCTCTCGCCCCTGCTGCGGCATCCGAGGAGTCGGATCCCGTGGCGGCCAGGCCCCGGCTGCTCGTGTGGCTGGCAGCGAACGTTTGTGATGCCTGCAATACAGGCTCATAGTGAGAGGGCTTAGGACTGCGTTGCACAAGTGATTTGAACTGATTTACAGCCCTGTTCCCACCACAGCAGGCAACCTGCCCTTCCTGCCCGCCTGCGCGTTTGCGCTGCCCTTCCTCGTGCCAGAAGGAAGGCTTTCCCTTGCTTTTGTCGGGCAGCTTTTGAGCCAGAACAGCAAGCTGCACCTCCGTGGAGATGCTGAAAACAGTCAGGGACGCAAAATAGATCTCCCGTTTCCCCCCTAGAGCTGCAGTTTCCCTGCTTGGGTTAAGGCACGGTGGTGGGTGGTCTTTGGGGATGCTGTGCTGTCAAGCAAGAGACGCTTCTACGTTTCGGGCTGTAGTGTTGTTAGGCACTTGTACTAAATTATGTCAAGCGTCTTTAAAGGAGACGGGAAAACCAGAAGTAGGAGCAGCTTTTGTGGAGACTGCTGAACAATAGCTGTCTTTGATCGGAGCTGTAAAAGCAGGGAGAGCATGCTGCTGTGCTCATGACAAGACGTATGAAGTCCCTCTTTACTCTCTAGCTAAACATGCTATTTGGAGAGGCTGACTGCTTGCTTCGTTACGGCTTGCCAACTGTTGCTGTGCCTTCACTATGTCTGTTTGCTGACTGTTTTACAGGCCATCATACATCCCGATACAAATGAGACCATCTTCATGCCTTTCAGAATGTCAGGTATGGTATATCCTGAAGAGGGAATAATTCATCTTCCTGGGAAGTCTTAAGAAATGTTATCTTTTTCCCTTGCTTTGGCACTGCGTTTGGGCTAAGATCACAGGATAATTCGGCTGTCTAACTCCCCTTGCAATCAAGGAGAATTAGGATCCTAAATACCTGTGAGAGAAGCAGCGCTTCGTATTTTCCTCTCCTTCAGATATTTTAAAGCGGACTCAAGCTAGTAGCCTTTCTGGCATTTTTGAGGTATCCATCGCTGCAGTGGTCGTTTTGACTTTGTAGTGAACAAAGAAGCTTAATGCTCAGCGAGCACTTTAGTGCTTTACTGTCCGGGGAAGAGGGTGAGCCCTATTTCTGTGTGCGCGGTGGTATGTAACAGCCACAGCAGTGAGAAGCCCTGGAAGGATCAGCTGTGCGTGTCCACGGCTTAGCTGCAGCAAAGCTCTTCCCCTCCGGGGACTGCCTTTCGGTGAGGTGCCTTAACTAGGCAGAGAGAATTAAATCATCCCCTTTTCCCCTCTTAATAGGACCTTTTCCGTGTTTCGATGGGGATTGTCTTCACATGATGGAGCAACTTGGGCACCTGGGAAAAGTGACAGGGTTGATGGGCCCCGTTCTCCAGTTCTCTGAAGAAGAATAATTTTAAGGGCGAGGGGCAGGAGAGAAAAGCCAGGACGCGCTCCTTTGCTGCCTTGTTTATAACTTCTTAAAAATCTTTCTTCCTCTCAGGTCTTTGCCCTTCCTGACTGTAAATTGGAGCCATAAGGCTTAGTTCAGTAATGTTGGTAAAATGCTCTGAGACCTTCTAGTGGAAGTCATGGAAATGAATTATAAGCAGCATAAGAATTGGCAGGCTTAGTGGGGGAAAAATTAGAAGCGTTTGATTTTTTGTGGCACTCATTAAGATTTGGGGTAAAGGCTCATCTATTGTAGCGAGCTCTACTAATTTGTACCAGTAGGACGAAAATAGTCCCTCTCTCCTCTGTTCCTTAGCGTGGATGCAAATATACTTTCTTCAAAGTGCTTGTGCCATGTTGCTTTTTCTGCTCACCTAGAAATAAATGAGTTATGCTGGTATAAAGTCACTATTGGAGAGGCTGATGAAACACGGGCAGCAAGGGAAGGAGGTCCCACTCAGGGCGACGTGCTCCTGCTCCTTAACTTGTATGGACTCTGCGGCTCGTTAGACCACTCCATGAGCATCTTTAGCATGCTAACCTGGTGGAAACGGGGCCCGGCACGAGGGGCGAAGGAACAGAAAGTCGGGTAGCTTTCTCCCGGGTTAGCGAGGGTAGATTGTAGGAGGGTCTGACGAGCAGCAGAAGTTGGCACAAGGGAGGGAACAGATTGCGTGACTGAGAGCGGGGAAGGGGGGCAGGATCTCCCCCTTTCGGTGGCAGCAAGCCATTAGGTCAGTTCGGTCCTCGCAGCGACAGCCATGCAGCTCGTGCCGCTCGGGAGGAAGCGGCTCCCGTGCGGAGTTGCCCTCCCGTCACCGGATTTTCTCCTTACTCCCCAGGCCAATAAAACGATGCCCTTTGAAACGCTAACGTGACGTGCTGGCGCACAGCGGTTTCAGTGGCATGAGCTTCAGATTCTAGATGAGGCCTTGGAAGTTTGGGGGAAACTCCTAGAGCGCAACCCAAGGAGGAAAAAAAAAGGAAAGGGCATGGGAGGGCCGTTTGGCAAAAACCAGGAGTCGGTTCTCGCTGGTGCCTGATGCGTCGGATGTGGCTCTGCAGAAGTCGCTGTGCTCACGGCGCTACGAAGCTGGGAGAAGTGAGAGCAGACTGTCTTGCCAGGTGTGGCTTGAACCCTAAGCTAGTAGCGGGGTTAGCTTTCCTAGGTGCGATTTCTTTCACCCCAAAACTGTGTGTATTAAAATGCATTTATCTCTCTCTCTCTCTCTCTCTCTTTTTTTCTTTAATAGGTTACATTCCCTTTGGAACACCCATTGTAAGTATTTTAACATCTCTCCCCGCTTTGTGTGCCTGTAACAGGAAATGCATTTTTTAGCACTCGCATAGACTTCTCCGAGTTCCATGGTTGTGTGTTGTGACAAATTCACAAAAGGTTCGCACCTTTCCCATCGCACGTTAGCAATGGTTTCATTGTGTAAAATATGCCCTAGGGGTTTAGCTGGTTGTGCTGGAGGTTATTTGTCTATTTAACATTATTCACCCAGCCCCCTGCCAATCGCGGCGCATGCATGCGCTCCGGGTGTTTTTTGTAATAACATCTTCAGCTTCTTATTTCCGTTTTGGAAAGGGAAGACCAAGATGAGCTCCCCGCCTGCAAAATGCAACTTTTGCAACTCTCGGATTGATCTTCAGACGTTTTTCCCTGTGCCCGTTTTCCGAGTCACTTCCCAAACGTGACAGACCTAGAGAGCTCAAACATCGCGAGGCCGGTGTTATGTTTTTCTCCTCTTCGTTAATTAGAACTGAGAGTGCTTTATATGGGGTTATCGCCAAGTGCGCTTTTGGTTTGTACTTGTTACTGTCTGTGAAACGTGTAAGTATTGGGGGGCTGTCTGTAGCGAAAGCCGGAGCGGAGATAATTCTGACTGGGTTGCTAACGCCGAAACGCCAGCGGAGCTTCGGAAGCGGTAACTGTTCACGCCGTTTTGTGAATGGGGAAGCTGAGGCACGGAGGCTTGCCCAAAATCGCACGAGCTGGGGCCAGAACGTGCAGTGAAGTAGAAATCTCCTTCTAGCCGCCGGCTCTTTGCTCTCTATTAGATCACGCGTCCTAGAGCAGTTAAAGTAGCAAATTCTGCTCAATTCAGACCCAGCGGACTGCGGCGCAGCACGCACTTAAAGGTAATGATCCTTTCCAAAATGGTGATAACGGGGTCGCTAAAGCCCAAAAGCAGAAACCGTCACTGCTGTTACTATTTGTTGTTGTATGTAACGTTTTGATGGTAACTTTGTATGGGGCATTTTAAAAGAAGAGGTTAAACAAAAATGAGTTAACGATCAATTTGACAATGAAATCGGCCCAAATCCAGAGCTGTCAGAGGAGCCGAGAGCTGTCAGATGAGCCCAGTTTCACTAGCTGTAAAGGATAAACTGGAACCTCTTGTCATTTAAAAAAAAAAAAAAAAAACCCAAACGTTTCAAATGTTAAAATTAAAATGTAACATTTATGCCAATCGATCTGTGAAATTTAGTGACAAAATTGGCAGCCTGCTCTAGCATAAAAACAGTTTGAGTCTTGCATTTAACATAGGGGGATGGGATTTCCTCAAGAGAGACTTAATGTGCCTGCGGTTAGCTCTCGCTGAACAAACTTGGGTGTCTTTACCAGCAAAGCCACGCTGGCGTGCCAACCCACGGCGGCTGATCGCCCCGATTTTGCGGGGTCAGTTAAAACACCCCGAATACCTTCTGCCCGAGACACGAGCAGATGATGTATTTAACAGGTTTTC